CATCATGAAAATTAAACCTTATTTTCAATAAGCAATCCTGAAAAATATTTGGGGGTGCTTAACTTTTTTCCAGGTGTATATATAAATGCTTAAGGCCACAAGCAGTGAACTATCTCGTGCATTGGCTTTGGAAAGAAGACGAAAACACATTTTTCATATGATCGTTATGAAATAGCATGAACACTTAGTACATTACCTGTAACTAATAAGCTTCACCATGATTTGTCTAACTACACTCCCATACAGGTCAACTCATGTCTGACAATGTTTTACCCAGAATCAGTCCTGTTATCCCTAAATTTATCAGTTTGGCAAGCAATATGAAGCTAGTAAATTGTAAACATTTTATGATCATATTTTGTATTTAAATGATAAGTTCACTTGTCACAATTTTGGCTTATGTGGAACACATTCTTGCATACATTCATAATTCTTCATTGTTCACATTGCTGTATCTGATGACTCCACACTTTTACATTAGCCCTGCAGTGTAGTTTCCATTGCAAAAGCCTCCATCATAAGGCTGTTGTGGCCACTCCTCCCATTTAACTTTCCACAATCAATCTAATTTATGAGAACAGTAGTTCCCATTGCCTATCAACAGTCCAAGTGCATATAAATCTATAGGTGCTCCATCTAGCAACTTTACTGGTGTGTCTTGGTATAAATAGCAGGAATACCCATTTCATTATCCAGCTGCCTGAGGTATGTGATGGTCAAACAGGAAGTATGACTGGAAGCGTAATATCGATGAACTAGACCCCAAGTCCTTGTTCCCAAACATAGCTGATATTTTTCTGTGTAACGAAGGGTATGGAAGTTTAGTCTGATAGTAGGTAGAATTCACCTTGATTTTTGTGCCACTCTTATGATCCCTAACAATGATCATGAATCTCTTAGAAAGAGTTTTGTAACATGTTGTGTACCACTTTTGGAGTTTTTTTTCTACCCATTGACTAGTAGGAAAAGGCATGAGACTTGTTTCAATTATCAAGGTACATATACACTTCATTTTTCATTAAGTGTCACCATTTACTGCCATTTTTCTATGGCTAGGTATCATTCATACAGTTTTATACAATTGGTCTTCCTTTTTTTGAATATGTCATGTAAGCAACTTGTATATGTATGGCTTGTATTTTGTTTTCAGATAGAGCTCTTTCTTGATTTTATCACGTACTATTGTCTAGAGTATCTCAACAGCTTTTGTCTCTGATCTTTCTATTTTTTGATTCTCACCTGCACTTTGCTTACTATGGCTGGGGTATGACTTGTTTCAGGTCTCATTCTGGATTGTCATAGTTCATGAAGTTGATCCATATCCATTGTTATTCAGTGCCATTAAGTACAAGGGATATCTCCATCTTGGAAATTCTAAATACCTGACTTGAACACATCTTTACGATTTGAGTATATGAATATTGTGCTTTGTAAAAGACTGTTACATACCCTTCCCAAAACGATCGGTTTTCAATTTCATAGTTTGTAAGAATTTTGAGATGTATTTGGAATGTTGTGTACTGGATAAAATAATAATGAAGTGATCCATAAATCCAGGAATTTAATGTAGTGCCAGAGGCAGAAAGAATAATATTGCATTTAAGGGTATTTTTCATGATAAGCTGAGTGGTTTTTTTTTTTTTCATTTTTGTAGGAACATCTGGAATGTTGATTCATTGTATATCTGGCTGGGATAGAACACCTCTCTTCATCTCTCTTCTCCGCCTGTCTCTCTGGGCTGATGGAAAAGTTCACCCTACGCTCACTCCTGCAGAGATTACGTATCTTACAATAGCCTATGACTGGTACTTTTTTGGGTAAGAAGCATGTTTGTTTAAGTTACTAAATGTTAAAGCATATTTTTGTTGTTCTATATTATTTACTATGTTAAGATATGCATAAAAATTAATAGCAAAATTCAGTGAATTTTATATGGTTTTAAGTGTTAAAAGTATTTTCGAAATGATAAATATACATATTTATCTTGTTTAGTTGCAATACTATTTAATTCTAAGTCAGCCAAGTGTGAGAGTTAATTGTTTTTTTACCACTTTTTTCCAACTCTCCTGGGGAAAGAAATGGTATAAGAGGCTTGAAGTCTATTTTGTTATCTCATTCTTTATGTAAGTTAAAGCAATTTGAGGATTATTACCTATTATCATAGAAAATCGTCCAAAAATAGTTTGATAGTAGCATTGCTCTGTGTTTTCCAAATCCATGTTTTATAGAGAATATATATCAGAGAGAAATGACATTGGAAACATTGTCAATAGTAAAAAAACATTGTTGCCTGTACAACAGTTCATTGATGAATGAGTTTTGTGGCTGTTTGAGTATTTCATGGGTAATGATGTATGTAGTAGTAATTTAAATATTGTAGATGCATAATCATGAATTATCTGTTTGCCTTTTAACTAAATCTTGCAATCACTGTATTTACAAATTATGAGATTAATTTTATATTTCATATTTACACTTATACTAGCAGTTGTAGCACACTACTGGATACTTAAGTTTGTTCCTACTAGCAGAAATGCCTCCCTAAGGGTGGTTTTTGTGCTAGTTATTCATACATCATTGAAAAATATTTAGAAAACATGAACATTTTATAAAAAAGAATTTTTCTTGGAAGTACTGCATCAGAAATGTGTTCAGATTGTGCTGATATATACTGTAATGTTTTTATATATTAAAAGTGGTACCAATTTAAAAAAGTTTTTTAAGAGCTCCATATTTTTAGTACTATATTTACAAAGTACATCAAAAAAAGATGTAATCAAACCCTTACATACACTCCTAGTGAAAGTCTTGTTCTTGTTGTGAGGAGAGTACTTTATTTAAAATTGTGTTCTGTAGTAAAGAAATGGTTGTTGTGCATACTGTAATTATTTTTCTAATTGTCTGAATCTTGAATATCCAAAGTGTGAAAATTTTTATGGATTTTTGTCTGTGGCCACTCAATAGATGGCGCTACGTTGAATGTATTATTTCAGTCACATACCAGATACATATATACATGCTGTGTCCATTATAGTAAGATTATAAAATGTGGAACAAGATGATAACCAGAACTTGCAAAGTTGAATGTATTGGGCTAGTAGGTTGGTTGATAAATATCATCAGTATGTAAGTGCAGAAAAGTAAATAATTTATTGATATATTTGTTCAGCTAAAAGAAAATGGAAATATTTTATTGTTCATTACAATCACAGTCCCAGACATACTTGTCTATTTTATGTCCAACGTACAAAAAAATGTTGCAAGGACAGAAATGTGAAGTGTCCATCACAGCATGATTTGATGATGGAAAAGCCACACATTAGGGTCATAGTCTCTTGTTATTTCCAAAATCTTTAAAATGTTTATTACATTCTATGAAAGGTATTTTTCATAATATTGGTTTGAACCCAGATGTTCTGTGAAATATCGATAGAAAGTGTAATGATCTGGAGGGATAAAACAACTCAGTCTAGAAAAAGTGTTACTAAATTATAAAGAATGTTGGATATTGAGTCATGATATAAGTGCTTTGTATTATATATAATTACAATAGAAAAATGTGTTTGATATTGATATGAAAACTTTTTTCTCTTTTTAGTCATAATCTAGCAGATAGAATAAGCAAAGGAGAAGAGGTGAGATAATGAACTTTATTTTATCATATTTTGCACATCAAATTTGCAATAATATATTTACAAGTTCACTGAGCTGCAACTTCAATGTAGTAATTAAGTTTCTTTTATGTAGATGTCTTTCATTGCTTCCTTTTGTAAAATATAGCTTTGGATATATTGGAAAAGCCACAATATGGTTAGAAACACACACATAAACAACATGCAAATTTTGTGACCAATAACAAAAATAGTATACATAATGACATGCTTTATACAGAATTCAGTATAACAAAAATTACAGTTAATTTGAAATCCCTAAGAGGGAAAAAGTGACAAGATTAATTGATAAATTTAGGCCACAGCTAACAAAGTTATTTCATTAGTTAATCTATTGCTATGAATTTGAAGAAAAGTCATTTGTATTTCTACGTTGTACTGAAAATGTATATTCTTTTTGTTTTTATCATTTAGAGATGATAATTAAAAGGGAAAACATGAAGTTTAGTTAAAGAGAAAATATATTATATAATGAAATAAACAAGATCAAAAGTAGTCCACTTTTATTCTTCCTTTTTTCAGATGAATCTTAACCCTATCTGAGGTGGCAGGGTAACATTGTGTTAACTCTGTTTGTTTCGTTCTAATACTTAAGACTCTTAACCTAATTGCATGAAATTTGGTACAAAATTTCTACATAGTATATAATTTGTGCTTGAAAAAAAAAACATTATGTAAATTGGTTGAGTATTTTTATAATGTTTTAGGTAGCAGATTTCCAGAAATTTTGTATTGAAATGCTGTTTTTAAAAACATTAAAAATTACTTCCTTTCATTTTAGTATTTTGTTTTCTGTGTGTCTAACTAAAATCATGTAAATATATCTAATAGAGTTATTTTTTGAACAAAACTAGAATTCTTGTGTCTGTGTTGTTATAAATCCTGGCAATGCTTAGTTTTTTATCTGTGCATGGAAACTTACATAAAAAGTAAATAACTATAAAAAATATGAAAGAAGTAAATATATCAAATTGGATTTTTTAAACTATTGGTTCTATCTTGTTTGGAGGCTAAGATTTATTTAATGCCCAATGCAGTGCAGTGGCATCATAAAAGTCTCTCAATACTCGGTATTTGAAATAGTCATTGAGAGAAAAGGAAAGTCAGGTGGGAAAAAAGCTTTGGATAAGTATATTTCTAAGGGATTCCAGGGTCTGGGTAGATATAAACCTGTACTTCTGGATGGGCAGAAATTTTTTTTTAATGTGTTAGGGCTTTGCAGAGATTAAAATTCAAACATTTTGAAAATTTTTCTTTGTAAATTACACACTAAAAGGGCTCTTTAATTTAAAAAATATCAGTTCTTAGATGTATACTAGTAATTGATGCATTTTTTGGGAAAATATAGTTTAATAATAAAGAAAGACATGAATGTAATTACATGAAGCATTTATTAAACATTGTGGAATCTTCAGAATTCCATCTTCAATAAGCTAGAGGTACAAAGCAAACATAATGGTAATTATCCCAGAAATACAATATAATCTGTAATAAATTATAAGTAAACAATTTGAATATAAAAAAACAAAACAGTATGTAGCACAAGTGAAATGATTCTTATTGAAATAGATTTAAATCAAGTGAAGAATATGTATTATTTAGAGATGAGTTTTTATGTACAACGTCTCTTTTTATTAGATGTTTAATATAATGCTTAGCTGTTGAGAGGATTTTAAAGTTGGAAAGAGAAATTCGGATGACCTGTTTCTGTATTGTGTTGGTAGATAGCAGAGTTGGGAGGGTTTGTAACTTTTTTTTTTTGAAACACATCTACCTCTGCTCACACTATAGCTTTATCCCAATGAAAGTTTCTCTTCACTGCTCGTCTTAACATTGGTATGAACCTTTCCTCGCTTGCTCCAGCCTTTATACCCCACTATATTGCCCAAAACAAGTTAAATCATATAATTCTCTCCACCTGCGTCTGTGCATCCCCTATCTCGAGAGTTGGTGGTAAATTGAGAAAAGGTGCTTTTGTCTTTCCCATTTATTGGATCAGCATGCCTTAGCTTTCCATCAATTGGAGAACCCTTGTTTAGGTTCTCAGAGGAGAGATCCTCTTCTTCCTATTTGGGGTTCTAGACCTGATGCCACTGTTCGTCTTAACCGAACTCAATTGTCCCGAGTTTGTCTGTCTTTTACAACAGAATTGAATTTTTTATCTTCTTTGCAAACAATGTCTGAGACCTACCACAGGTCTCCTGCTCAATTTTCAGATGATCCTAGTCATTTATTGACTTCTACTTTGGTAAGGTTATCAGCTTCTGCTCTCTCCTTGGTCTCTTGGTTGGTTTGTTGATGTAATTTTTTGAAGAGAGATGTCTTTCTTGAGGGAGTTTGACTTCCTTTTTTGGACCTTAGAGATCTCAGAGATGCTCCTTTTCTCAGACTTTTGATTTTTACAGGTATTCCAGATTCCATGGAATCAAGGGTGGATGTGGCTCTTCTCTTTTGACACTGGCCTCTCGCCTTTCCCATCTTCTACTGGACAGTTTCCTACATCTCTCATTAGGGTTTCTAGGCTTCCTGCATTGGCTTCACGTTCTATAAGAACACAAGAGATATTCCACCCTTATCAGCGAATACTCTTTACTCTTGTGGAGCACAGGCTACAGCATCGGTGACTACCCTCTACACCTTCAGGCCATGGAACTGGCCATTCTTCTACTACAATCGTCTCCTTCTCCACCATTGTGTGCAGTTCTATCTCTTTTGGGGATGTGGGCATCCTTGGAATCACTCATTCCTTTAGGTTAGGCTCACATACATTCCTTTCAGTGGTCATTACAGGATTAATGGAACATTTGCCTGGATGTGCTGGATTGTCCGGTGATCCTGCTGGTTTCCAGTTGTTGGTCGCTCTTATACTTAGTTATATAGAGCTTTATTCTTTGTTTCATAAGTCATCTTATAACCAGTGTGTGTACAGTGTGAATGACAAGTAACTCATTTTTCAGAATTTAAGTAAAAAAAATGTATAAATCTATTACAACAATTTTTGGCATAATATTATTTTAGATTTGATATTTAAGCATTATATGCTTTTCTAGTTTGTTTTGTAAATGAAAATTTAAATAACATTCAAACTTTTATTTATGTCATGTACCTAGGTATATAAACTGTAAACATAGTACTTATAGATTTCTGTGGAATGTTTTCACTTGCCCTTTATGTTATATTTATTGCTACCAATCAGATTCCAACATTTTTGGATAACATAATATTAATGTTTCTGTGACTTCTCTCTGCTCAAGAATGAATTTATTGCTTGAGTTAGCTTTTATTTCACTGCTTTGGAGGGTTTTGATACTCTTGAATATTTCTTAATTTTGACAAAAGGTACAGTTTAAATGCTCCATTTTGACCTTCACATCAGTTGAGTGTTCATTCAAAATTTTAATTAAAGAATGTTATTATCAATGTATGTCAATAAACTTGTCATGAAAGCATAGTTTATGATCTAAATCTCGTATTATATAAGTTTTAATTTCTTAATTTCAAAAAGAAATATTAAAAAATCTCCATCTTCATTTTTCTGTGTCACATAATAATGTTTATGTGAACTCAACTTTCTCTAATTCATAATTTTCTAACTTAACAAATAGATTACTGCAAGTTGCTAGTAGTTCTTTCTAATGTTTTATGCTATATTATTTTTAACCACTAGAAAGCTTTAGTTTTAATCTATCAAATGATGTATTATATTACCTTGTTTTCAGTACAGAGTAGTGTCTATTTTATCTTCAGTTTGAAAGTTTTTCTCACACATAAGCTGACTGATTTACAACCTTTATGGTTGGATTATTAATTAGACAGGGTCAAGGGCAATAAAACAATAAAATTAAGTATAAACAGATGTATACTGTTATGAGTTTTAAGCTATTTAGAACATACAATTGTAGTATTCAGTTACAATTTGTATTCATTCTAGAAAGAAAATAGTGTAATTTAGATTTATTTAGTATTTTTTATGGTGGTTATAAGTTTGGTCAAATTCACCAACTATGTATAGAGGTAGGGTGGAGAAAATAATAGATTAAATATAAAGTTTTATTGAAAAAACATTTGATATTTATTTCAGAGGTTTAAGAGTTTAAGCAAATGAAATTTGACAGTTTTTAGATGAAAAAAGTATTTTGATCTTAATGTGAAAATCACTTTGCACTCAATGCAGTCAACTCTTTGACCTCATACATTCATGGACAAATTTTTTACAAAAAATATATTTAAAGTTATAGTATGGAAATTCTGATTGTAAACTCTATTCTTGAATTTTTCAGAGTCAGTGAATTGTTTAAATTTAGTGTCTTGCTGGATTAGAAGATTACTTTTATATCAGATTTCTTTCAAATTCTCCTGGGTTTGTAGTTACAATTATTTTGAAGGGGAAAGAAGTGGTAGTGATTGGTTGTTGGGAACTTTTAATTCCTAGTGATTGATTAATGAATTTCTTAGAGTATCCATTGAACTTAAAGGTGGTTGAGTTGAAGTTTTTTTTATAAGTATTCAGTGTCAAACTTAACTCTGCTCTGTTTTGGAAGTTTGTTATGATTCCATGTTTTATCAAGTTTGGCTGATTTGATATATAGTGTAGGTACTGGAAGATGTGTTTGGGTTTTCTATAGTTGAAAGGTGGTAATCATGATGTTGTACTAGCGCATCCAGAAATGGTAGCTGGTTTTGTTGTTTTAGTTGTGAAGTGAAAATTGAGTGCTGATATTTTGGGAATTAACCCTTTAGCAAGAGGCTCGGTATAAAATACACTAGTCCTTATACACATTTGCACTTGTTAGGTTTTATACTATAACTTTTAATGCAGTATGTGTATCTTCACAAAACTTGGTAGACTTTTAGTAATGACTACAGGTCTTTTGAACACAAAAATCAGATTTTTTAATGAAGTATTTTTTTTACTAAAGATTTGTTTCTGAAAATATCGAGTCTGTTTCTTTAATAGTCCGAGC